ACACCGAGACAAAATATACCACAATATCGTCACATTGAGATAAAAGAGACCACCATATCCTCACGTTGAGATAACATCTACCACAATATCAATACACAGGGACAAAACCTACCACAATATCAACACACAGAGACAAAATCTACCACAATATCAACACACAGAGACAAAATCTACCACAATATCAACACACAGGGACAAAATCTACCACAATATTAATATATAGAGGAAAATCAATACAACGGAGACGCAGTATCCAAACAAAGGGAGAAAGACATTCTTAACACAGCAGCAGCATATAGGGAAAATAACCTACAGTGTCAACACAGAGGGACCTTGTTAATTCACAGGACAATAAACAGTACAGTATAAACACTGAGGGACCCTGTTAATTCACAGGACAATAAACAGTACAGTATCAACACACAGGGACCTTGTTAATTCACAGGACAATAAACAGTATAGTGTAAACACAGAGGGACCTTGTTAATTCACAGGATAATAAACAGTATAGTGTAAACACAGAGGGACCTTGTTAATTCACAGGACAATAAACAGTACAGTATACACACTGAGGGACCTTGTTAATTCACAGGACAATAAACAGTACAGTATAAACACTGAGGGACCCTGTTAATTCACAGGACAATAAACAGTACAGTATAAACACAGAGGGACCCTGTTAATTCACAGGACAATAAACAGTACAGTATAAACACTGAGGGACCTTGTTAATTCACAGGACAATAAACAGTACAGTATAAACACAGAGGGACCTTGTTAATTCACAGGACAATAAACAGGACAGTATAAATACAGGGGCCTTTTTAATACACCGGACAATACACAGTACAGCATCAACACAGAGGGACCTTGTTAATTCATAGGACAATAAACAGTACAGCGTCAACACAGAGGGACCTTGTTAATTCACAAGACAATAAACAGTACAGTATAAACACTGAGGGACCCTGTTAATTCACAGGACAATAAACAGTACAGTATAAACACAGAGGGACCTTGTTAATTCACAGAACAATAAACAGTATAGTGTAAACACTGAGGGACCTTGTTAATTCACAGGACAATAAACAGTACAGCATCAACACAGAGGGACCTTGTTAACTGAGAGGACAATACACAGTACAGTATAAACACTTAGGGACCTTGTTAACTGACAGGACGATAAACAGTACAGTATAAACACAGAGGGACCTTGTTAATTCACAGGACAATAAACAATACAGTGTAAACACTGAGGGACCTTGTTAACTGACAGGACGATAAACAGTGCAGTGTGAACTCAATTTTTAGCAAGCAGACAGTCCGTAATGACGAAAATTAATATGACGTTAACACACAGGACAGCTAATATTCAGCAATGCGTCAACACTGGGAAAAGTTCAGCAAAGCGGCAACACTGGGAAATGTTCAGCAAAGCGTCAACACAGGGAAATGTTCAGCAAAGCGTCAACACAGAGAAATGTTCAGCTAAGTTTCAACACTGAGAAATGTTCAGCTAAGTTTCAACACAGGGAAATGTTCAGCAAAGCGTCAACACTGGGAAATGTTCAGCTAAGTTTCAACACAGGGAAATGTTCAGCTAAGTTTCAACACAGGGAAATGTTCAGCAAAGCGTCAACACAGGGAAATGTTCAGCAAAGCGTCAACACAGGGAAATGTTCAGCAAAACATCAAAACTGGGAAAATGTTCAGCAAAGCGTCAACACAGGGAAATGTTCAGCAAAGCGTCAACACAGGGAAATGTTCAGCCAAGCGTCAACACTGGGAAATGTTCAGCAAAACATCAACACAGGGAAATGTTCAGCTAAGTTTCAACACTGGAAAATGTTCAGCAAAGCGTCAACACAGGGAAATGTTCAGCTAAGTTTCAACACTGGAAAAATGTTCAGCAAAGCGTCAACACTGGGAAATGTTCAGCAAAACATCAACACAGGGAAATGTTCAGCTAAGTTTCAACACAGGAAAATGTTCAGCAAAGCGTCAACACAGGGAAATATTCAGCTAAGTTTCAACACTGGAAAAATGTTCAGCAAAGCGTCAACACTGGGAAATGTTCAGCTAAGTTTCAACACAGGGAAATGTTCAGCAAAACATCAACACAGGGAAAATGTTCAGCAAAGCGTCAACACTGGGAAATGTTCAGCAAAGCGTCAACACTGGGAAATGTTCAGCAAAGCGTCAACACTGGGAAATGTTCAGCAAAACATCAACACTGGGAAAATGTTCAGCAAAGCGTCAACACGTTGGAATATTTTACACAACATGCATGGTTAATTACATTTGTAGATGAGTCGATATGAAGGGACCAAACATTAAAAAGACTTCGAAAAGCAGGGACGTTCGTGCGTCAATAAAACGAGACAAAAATAAGCAATGTGTCGACACAAAACCACAAAATTAAAGAAAATATAACAAAATAGCCATACCCGGTACATGTAATGAATTTTACGACAGTTGTGTAGGTACAGCTATAATGTTCCACCAACACAACTTACATTGTTAGAATCTGATAAAACCACAGGTCTATCCTGAATTATGAGCTTAAGTCAGGTGTGTCGAATAGTTTATAGCACCAGGGTAACCTTCTGTCAAAAATTACAAATGTCCAAAGGAAGAGTTTATATAATATATACAATTTTAACCTCTCGTGGAAATTTCGAATTTTACTGAAACCTTGTAATTTTAATTAGAATTACGTTAGATGATTATATGTGGCCGTAATCACATGAATATATATGACATTGAGATAACGCTGCTAAACCCAATCTGCATCTATAACCTAATTCACGTTTGTGTAAATTGCATTATTAAGCAATGAGAGACTCAATTCTAACTCAGTCTGCACTCAGAAGTGAAATGACCCCAAATTCACAGAGGAAATCCCAAAACGATCTTAAACAGATCTGCAAAACAGTTCTACCGAACGTCGAGAAAAAGGGCACACATAATTCCAGTTCAGCAAAATGACCACGATGTATAATGGTAACTACATGAATAGATGTGGATAGAGACATGTATAAGGTAACATAAACAACAAAATAAAGAGTCTGCTAGCAATCACGTCATGAAATAATACTTAATGTGATCACCAAATACATTTAAATTGTGATAGCTATATTTTATTTCAGTTGGGATATCAAAATATAGAACAGTATTAGACCGCAGTAAAAAACTTTAGATGATCCGTAAAATGTATACTCAAGTTTCACAAGATATTGAGCCAAAATTTTGCAAATCTATTTCCTGAAAGTCAGCAAATTTCCGATTTTATCAATGGTAAAGATAATAGTAGTAATATTTTAGATTTTAGTTAAAAGATCTCGGATTTGAGGCCTATTCCATTGTCCTGGTCATTCTACTTACAAAAAAAACTATATATTTTGGTATACACATATATCGCCTCTGCTAGTCACCGATGACCAGTGTATACAGTTTTTCAATAAACAATGTCATTCTACACGAGATTAGGTAGATTCGGTAGCACTGATCATCAGGATAGAAATATCATCAATTGATTATGTTTTACTCTGATTAGAACCTATATCGTGACCTAAATTTGTGTTAGCTCTTTCAACAGAACGACAGGCGCGTAGAAAGTGCGCTTTCTAAAATCTATATGATGACATTAATTTTTTAATCAGGTTCCTCCTCAAAATGACAGCTAACGTCTCACATGGCTAAATGGTCTCTCGAACGTTGTCTTGTTTCTCACCTATAATCTGGTCGGTTTGATCCGATCGATAACACAAATCTGCGTGTTAAAGCCATGTGGTCATATGAAGTGTAAAAATGATTTAGTACTATATCATAAACCATTTTGACTGGGATATTTACCATTTGGCGACATGTACGTGTACATGCTATATTGTATAGTCGAATCAATGGGCCCGGGCAGTTGGCACGTGTGGATGTACACGTATAACTCCCACCGGACTACCATAATGATGTGATATCCAGTTCAGTGATGTAAAAGATTGAATGTAATCATTATGCATTATGTACACATTGATTCGCTCGGAATCTCATCCAAGCCACGTGTTTGTCCATAGTGATCGGAATGTACCAGTAAAGGTTACGTGCTTAATAATATCACGCATGCGCATTATGCAATGTGTCGAACATTGTAATCCAAGAAAACATTCTGCATTCTTGATGAATGCTACATGAGCTTGACTGACCGAATTCGGTTGTTATTTATCTTTATTTGTGTTTTTGTGTTGTTTTGTTTGTTTGTGTGGTTTTTCTTAATCCCGTATTCTGTATAAATTCTATCATGCACATTGATGTTATTTTCTTCAAAAGTTCGGATTCACACTTACTTGGATTTGGTTAGAGATAAGTCCAGGTTCAAGATCGAACAATATCATAATCACGATTAAAAAATGATAATTTCAAATATTTGCAAATAGCCGTAGCGTCGCGTAAACAAGGATGATGTACCTTTAAGGTGTCCTGTTTTTCAAGACGGAATTTTTTTCACATTTTCCCCTTTTATTATTTTTTGTTTTTACTTAATTTTTTTTAGTAGTGCTTGCCCTGTTGCCCTGGTGGGAACAAAAGAAGTTGTGTGGAGATGTTTGCACTAAGATACGGGTACCGTACTCTATGTGATGTAACTCCAGACCAAGGCCTATAGATGTTGATAACACGCCAAACAAACAGTCATAGTCATTATTGGTTATTGTCAGTTTCCCCGAGTGAAAAGTTCAACATTAATTGTTTAATTGATATCATTATTAGATTAAGATGGCAGTTATAAAAACTGTATTATGTCGCTTTCATGGACATTTAATAACAACCCAATAACACCTAAAATCGTTGTAATATTACACCGGAGTTTTCGGTCCGATGACAACAGTTTGTAGAATGTGCGGTACACATGTGGACGAATAAATGTAATACAATGGACTTACCTTCGACTGCTCAAAATATCACTTGGTGGTTAAGGTAGCGGATGTGGTAGCTTAAGGAGCAAAATCATGAACCATGGCAAAGCTTTAGATAAAACTCGTGACAACGAGTTCGAAACAAAATTACGTAGCAAAATTGCAAAATATAAAACACAGGTAGATTGTGATGAATCAGTGGAGGAACTGGTTTCTCATAGAAAACCTAATCTGTCCTATATAGCTATGATATCGATGGCAATACAAAGTGTACCTTCAAAACAAATGCTGTTGTCGGAAATATATGAATGGATTTCAGAGAATTATCCATACTACAAAATGGAGGACAAAAGTTGGAGAAATAGTATCCGTCACAATCTTTCCTTGAACGAGTGCTTTATCAAGTCAGGTCGAAGTGAGAGTGGAAAGGGCAGTTATTGGTCCATCCATCCGGCAAACATGGAGGACTTTGGAAATGGGGACTTCCGGCGACGTCAGGCAAGGCAGCGCGTCCGGAAATGTGATAACGAGTTGAAAACGTTGTGTGAACCGTGTTATTTATCAAGTGATCCCACGCTTATACCACAACCTTCACCTACACAGATGTACTCCGGTTACGTGCCCATGAGTAGCACTTCCGTGAGCACTGGATTTCTGACATCTATGTTTGGAACAGAACCTATTCTTAATAAGGGAGGACATGTCAAAAATGTACATTACACCAATAGATTTCTTTGGCCAGATAAAGACATCCTTCCCAATCTTCAAACATTTACCGGAAACAGAGCGATCACCTCCGGCAATGCTGTAACGGATACCACTTCCGTAAGTGTTAAAGTGAAAGTAAATGTGGACGGATTTCAACCAAAATTTTGAAGTTGCAAAGTTTACAGCATGACTTAAATTGGACACATTTGACACAAAATTTGCGATTTTATCTTTGTTTCACATATATGGATTTCAACATTAAGTCACTTAATTTATTATGAAGATCAAAGGCTGAAGTTTTTGAAGGAGATATTTACTAATGTAACCATTTGATAGCTATTTAATAAACACTCATTTTGTTATATATTGTTGCTTGTGTTATATTTGGAAATAATATTAAATATGAAAAATAACGCTACGGCCATTTAATGACTGTATATTGATATTATTGCTAACTACGGGAATTAAGTTATAAGGTGTATGACTATTCGAGTTATTTCCCTTACTTTATTGCATTCGTTTGAAACGTTATGACGACGTTAGTTAAATTGAATTTCTCAAACGGGAATATTTATGTTGCTTCAGTCTTATATATTTAACTTAACGATAATGTGTTCAGATATAAACCGTATTTCTACAAAGAAAGAGAGAGAGAAAAAGAGAGAAAAACACGAGTGTAGGGGAAAATGATGTCCATAATACGGGATTTTTTTCTCACCCCGCCAGACAAACTCCAGTCACATCATGTTTCTAATATTAGACAACCGTGTAAGAGAATTAATTATGTTTAATCGGGCTAGTTATAAAATCAAAATGACATTTCGATAATGGATGAGGAAATTGACGTAGTGTAAGAATTTTTATAGATAAATGTTTCCCTTCCGTAAAGCATAGCTATGTCTCAACTTAAGTGCCTTCAATTTACTTAATCTGTAGGACGATCTTAATTGCCAAGCCACGTTAAGTTTGGAACACTTGAAATGTTTTCTGTTGCAATTTAAAATCAATATAAATCTGTTGGCGTGAGAGTATGCGATGATAGCGTCTCTCCAAGGTGCGATCACCAATCAACACTTGTGTAGCCTTAATTGATCAAATCGAACACGCCACAGAGATGGTGTTTACTGTTTTGGGTGCTTACGATATCGTTACATGAACCAATCAGTAAATATATACTGTAAGGATTTCAATGTGATGTAAAAAAAAAAAAAAAAAAGAGAATATTTAATACGAGTTACCTCCCTTCAAGTACAAGTGAAATTAAATCTGTATGTCACCGGTTTAAAACTAATGAATTGATGTTGTCAATCAAATAAATAAGATACTTTGTTTCAATTTGTCATTGCCATTTTTAATGTACTTACTAGATTTAAAATTGATATTAAAAATACATTGATCAAATTTACCAATTTTGAGATATCAGTTAAATATAAATGGGAATGATACATTTTTTTTTCAGAAAAAAAAAAAAAAAAAATTTCGACATTATTTGTATAACAATGATAAGGGATGTCTATGTTATTTGTTTTCTATACAATTTTAATTGAATTGTGATAAGAACATTGAATGTTTGTAATTTCCTTAAAACATTCTGATTGCAATCCTATCTAGTCTAATCATAAATGCATTTTACTGTGCATATTATTTGGTAATTGATAAGCATTTCCGGTTAATATGTACAGACCAAATAAACAAAGAAAAGGGCATATGAATATTAATGATTAGGAAATGTTTTTCATTACGTAAAATTACACCACTTAATGATTTTAGAATGCCTTAATTGCTTGACGTAGGATATACTGGGATGAAGTATATGTCTTGCGACTTCCGGAGTGAAAATCAAAAGTGTATTAGATACAACCGTCGCCCTGATACACTCATATATCTATCGTAATATTTTCGTAATCCATACAACTTTTATTCACTTTGAAATGTCCCAATACCGCTTTAAAAACGTCTTTGAGTTTAAACAACGAAAAACCGGCAGATATTAAATCTACCACAAATGTTAGACAAAACACAACGTTAGATTGGACGTTTCTCGCAAATAAATGCAAAACTTTCATTTCCGCTTACTCTTTCCCATCCAAAACGTGCTTGTCTTGACATTACCAAATAATTAAGCACATGAACGTCATGCACATTTTGGTTAGATCTCGAGCTCCAGTGGAAATATATCATCTTTTCTCCATCGTTGAATCGCCATGTTCCTTTCTGTGTGACGTCACTTCCTTGTATGTAAGTCTTTTCCTCCCGGAACATGTCTGAAAATAGTAAAGTAAAAGAGCACATACTAAGTAAGTATAAATTGGCCTTAATTGGGGCTGTAACAGAGTATTTTTCCGGAACTTTTTTCTTTGAAGTGACGACAGCGTTCAGAAACATTTGTAAATATGATTATGTTGACATGTTGGTGCTTTCCTGTCAAGTAACCTATATACTAACACCCGATTATTAACTAGTTTCAAGCAAGTTTACATAAAATATATGTTGATTTATCATTGTTCTCGTTTTACCGTGATATACATGTATATGCACTAATGCTTTCTGGGAGATATCGGTTACACTATATATATATATATAACTCTACGACATAGTTCAGTGTGAATTGTTGTATCTCCATTACTAAAAACATCAAGAAAATACCAACACGGCAAAGTACTCATAATCCGAACTCAAGTTCCGAAAAAATAGAAGGAAAATGAACAAAAGAAAAATTTACACAGAAACTCCTGAAAAAGTAGAAGCAGAATAAGACCAGATGTTCCGGAAGGGTAAGCGTCTTCTGCCTTATCGACGACACCTGCCATGTTAACTTGATCAATCCAAATAAGTAGTATCAGGTTTTTAAATGAGAACAAGGTATATAGCAACAGAACAAACCTGCAAACTAACGAGCATCAAAAATTTCAGTTTTATAATACACAAAGAAAAAGAATATTTGATGACCATAAAACTTTATCATGATTTAAAATTATAAGTAAAATATTTTGACTCGATTCTTAGTAATTAATGCAAAGTTGCCTTATAAAAGCTTATGTAACAATTGTAGTATACACGTTATTTCGTTTTGATTATATTCATTAGTTACCCAGATACTGAGCTAGATGTCGCTGTTTGTTGTCCGAGTCTACCCTAGTTAACTCAGCGTCCTCCTTTTGACACACAAGAGCTGCTTCTGACACCGAGTTAATATTAGTCCCAGTATGAAGCTTGTAACATAACGACAGGTGGCGCTGGTGAATGTATCCAGATAGAGGATCACATACACCTACAAAGAAAGTCGCGGGGTCAGGAAGACTGCTTATATAAAAACGTAAAATCGTAAAAACGAAGGTAAGGCTTTCTGACATATTCATAAACGTTTAAATTTCCTTTCCTATTGACTGTTTTCCAACACGAGATCGGTTAGCACAGTGCCTAAAGCTTGCCTTTCATCTAAACGAAATGGGATCATCATCCAAGTGGGTTTCCGAAGGGTATTCAAAAGTTTTCTCAAACATTAGTACGCTTCCATGCAAGTCACAGGAGTAAGTTAATAGCTGATATGTAAATATCATGCACGTGTTACCTACCTCCATTTACTTGGTAGTAGACCCAGGCCTTGTCAGGAACCCAGAAGGCGGAGGCTGGAAACAACACTGAGTGGAGCTTGCAAACTCTTCTCTCCTTGTTGAAGAAGAACGAAACACAGTCACGTGACCAGAGACAGTGATATGAACACATTCCAAGGGAGACAACTACCATAGAGATCAGCTGATTTCCCCCAACCACAAAATTTCTATATTTCTGTTGTTCGTTGGCTGTTATTACGTTATTAGAGCCATACGTCTTAACAACAATAACGTGTAACAACATCAGATACTTTGATATTAACACAACGGTTTTCATGGTAAAGAACCGTTTGTATGATTGGTTTATGCGAATGTATTGCCTCGTTTTGGGGGATTCGTTTTGCGTCACAATTTATACCTCACCGTTCAACCAATGCATTGATTTTATCTACTGGTAAAATCTCCTGTCTCCCACTGAATGGTTATATCTCTATTGCATACGTAAGGTCGACTTGATCCTGTAATTCTGGTCAGAACTATACCCGACTGATATTGCATGTAACATTAGCACTCATGCATGGTCCTATCGGCTCTTGGAATATTTATAAAGCGTCAATGTGAAAAGGATGATTAGTGTTAAGCACAACGGAGTGTTTAGATAATCATTAATCGAGAAGTGTTAGATGTGGATAGAACGATATTAGTACAGTTCAATGTCTCATTTCTCATCCTTTATACAATTATAGGGCTTTGTGATAAGGCTCAATTTAATTAAAAATCATACCGTTCTTAATTTAATCCTGTTGTCGGTTTTAACGGTATTTCGTGTGATTTCGAAAACAGAAATAACGATTAAAAAAATCATGAAATGTGAGATGTTATTTTCTAAATACAATGATAATATTTTTGAGCATTGACCGATAAGTTATTAATGATCAGAAAAATAGTGCTGAGAGTAAGATATTTTGTAGTTGCAATATTCAATAGCGATATGAAGATTTTAACTTTTTGTTTTTATTTTGGTTTCAACTGTTTTCTTCTGAAGTAAGTATGATATTATTAAAATGGTTTTCGTATAGGAACAATCCGAATGTTAACACAGCACACGGTATAGATAAGGAAAGAAAACTTTAGCAAGTTGATATTTTGTTTTATGTCACCATTACAGAAATAACATTCCACAGTATAGTTATAGATATTCTGTTTGTGTCAGGCTAAGCAATAAAATAAAGCAAAGATATGTAGGACGTTGCCAACTTAATTAGTCTGTATTTAATAATGATATTGAACCTACCGTTTTGTTTTTCGTGCAGATAATAGCGTTAATTTCCTGTGTCTTATTTAATGAAGGCCTCACAAGATATCATCAAAGTTATCCTTAATGTAATCAATTTCAGACCACGAAATTAATAACCTGTCCATCAAGGCACCCGGATCCTCCGTACCTTAAAACAGTCATTATACCAGGTGTTATTAGTGATTGTCATGAACATAGTGTGTATGAAGCAAGGCAAGTTGCTATGGCAATAACGTTTTGAGTTTGACTTTATTATACCATGATATATTTCTAGACTTTTAATGTTAAGTGATATCAGTATAAGACATTATCCCGTCTAATGAAGTAACGTTGCGCGTAGAAGAGGAATTCAGGTTGACTGACAGAGACAAGACTGATTGACATCAATAAATTCAGTGTCAACAGGCACGTCGTGATTGGATATAATCTACAGGATAAAGCTAAATATCACAAAAAATCCAGTCTCCTTTAATTCTTTGGAAACAATGCATTTTCCGCTCATATTGTGTGTGATTCTGGTTTTAGTTTGTTTATCTTGTGACACAGAGACAGTTGACAACGCCACTTTATACGATAACTCTGCTGGCTCTTCAACGCCGTATCCCGTAACGGAGCAATTCAACGTTTCGATCGCATCTGGACAAGTCAACTCGACCCAAACTGATACAGTAAATAACGTTGATTGCGTATTTTCAAACGATACGGAACACTCACAAATCGTGGACGAGACGACTTTGCCGTCGCTGATTGACTACGTTGGTTATGTTGTAGTGCCATTGTTCTTGCTTCTTGGTATATGCGGCAACACGATGACTATCATAGTCATGCGCAGTAAGAGTTTCCGGTATATGACGGTAAGCGTCATCCTCACGGCCTTGTCAATATCAGACACAACTCTAATCCTTCTCCTTCCATTTAACAAGGCGTTTGTACGGACACGTCTTGGTGTAGATGTTCGTGCTCTCTCAGATTGGGGCTGTAAGGCATTCTTTTGCTTTTTCCGGTCTGCAAAAATGACATCATCATGGTTTGTGGTATTCATCAGTTTTGAACGATTCTTTGCAGTTTGGTTTCCTTTAAAGATTAAAGTCATATCAACAAAGAGAAATGCATACATCGCTATTAGTTGTGTTTATATAACAATATACACATTAAACGGAGTTTGGACTTTTTCTTCCATTTTGAAAAATGGTGTTTGTATTCCGAATCTGTCCACTGCAGGCAATGAGAAGATGACGGAAGGATTTCTGCTCGCCGGGACAACCATCTATTCCATAATTCCGACATTTCTACTTCTTATCCTCACACCAATGACGATTCTGAAGCTATACAAACAACAAAAGACACGACAAGCTTTAGCCCAATCGTCCCATACACGAAATGAAACCGGCAAGACAACGATTATGTTGCTGGGGGTAAGCATAGCGTATGTTTTGCTCGTTGGGCCCATTACAATCGCTCACGCGGTAGCTTTTTTCCGGGGAGAAAACATCTTCGAATCAAAGGATTCTGAAGTTGTCATTTTCAGGGAAGCTTCGCAAGTGATGGAACAGCTTAACTATGCAATTAATTTCTTTTTGTACGTAATATGTAGTAAGAGTTTCCGAGGTCGATGTATGTCCGTGTTGAGATGTACAAGATGTTGCCATGCTGAGACAGGGTCTACCGTACACGTTAACCCTGCTAACTTTATGAATCCAGCGGTCGACCAACCCCGACCGGCACAAACGCCAGAGGAAATAGCGTTACATGCATCATCTCAACAACTAACGTTGGAATAGGGACATCCAGTATCGTGTGTTAATTATCAAATAATATCATTCCGACTAACGTTTGTAAATTTTCAGTTGTAAATGTGAATTTTTCATTGCTGTATGAAGGCTCTACAAATGAGTTATATATTTGGTAAACTTCTACTGAACGGGTAAGTGATTTATATATGTGATGTACGATTTGGACTTCTTTCAGAGATGATGCAGTCTATGTTTTTTTGTTTTTTTTTATTAGGAAACAATGAAGAATATGGTTTCGTGACATAAAACTGTCCATCCATATCAGAAACTATGTGTGATATTACGTATATTTTGTATGTTTTGAAATTGGATGATCTATTGACATCAGGGGCGGTTAGTATTGGTATGTGTTGATTTAGGAATCAATGGATATTGTCTTTGAAATGATTCGCATTTGGTCTGTGATGTGTCCTTGTTTACTCAACAAGTAATCTGATCTGAATTAGTATAGAATGCCGTATTTCTTAACTCTGATTTGAGAGTTGTACATGTACTTGTAATGTTAAGTATTTATCGTAGCAAATGAAAACTGTATAGTATTTTGCATATTGTGTTAACTTCTGAAAACTTTAGCTGATATGGTTGATGTTAGCAAATTTATCTAAATAAATTGTGTGGTTTATATGATATTGACAGCTTGTCTTTGTTGTAAAACTGCAACTGGCATGTCGCTAGTTGATATCACGTTGTCTGTGATAGACGTCGGCAGATGGCAGATAAATTTACGCACTGTGACTTAAGAGACGCAGATTGATGAAACCCTATTGTCCATGTCCAATAGTACGCCCTGATTAAATTCAGAATTAGTTTCATTTTTATATAAATGGTTCTCATTTTGAGAACATGAAATGAACCATGATTGACATAGTAATTGTCGATAAAGCATGAGATACCTCACCCTTATGGAATACATTGTTCTCTAGCACTTTACAAGGGCCTCTGTGTAAATATTTACCTAGTGGATATTTCTTTCTCGTTTAACCTTTAAACTTGTAAATGTCAAACCATGAAAACTTTGCACAGGCTTATTCTTCGTCTTGTTACAAAAGCTCATAAGCTAAGTGCCAGAAATTTGGTGTTGACATTTTGCCGAGAAATAATAACGATACGCAGATGAAAAAAATCTTACCGTAAAACATCGGATTGAAATATAAAAGGAAAATGCTACTTCCTCCATTTCGATCGTTATCAATAGAACATTTAGTGATTTATCATCATAATGTTGATTTCACTTGTTGATTTCACATTTGGTACACTAAGTTATCTTACTCCATGGCAAATTTCAGCTCAGATCTAAACGGTCGAAAATCCGACGTGGCAGTCCGGCAGTGTCAGAGGCTGGTAGTGTTTTCATACAGGAACAGCCCTCTTAAATTATTGTTTGATATTTTTCATGAAACTCAAGCACCAACAATGACATATGATAGAAAACATGTATATGAGAAACACATGACGTAGACTAAGATTAAATAAATTGTGCATTTGCCAAAATAATATTTTCATTGAATTTGAACAAAAAAAAAAAAAAAATAAATAAATAAATAAATAAATTTAACTGGAGTCAAATGACCTGAAATGTGATAAGGACATGTCATCAGTTATGTATCAGATCACGTAGATATTTCATATATTCTGAAAATTTGAAACACCAACGTGTCAACTAAATCATAACCCAAACTCAAATCTCTTGAAACTAAAGCAAAATGTGAACAATAGAAATGCACTGAGTCTCCTGGAAAAAGAAGAAAGATAATAAGACCAAATGTTCTGGAAGAGTAAACGTCTTCTGTTTCATCGACGAGATCCGCCATACAAATCTTGGCCAATTGAAGTACGTAATGTCACGATCTCAAATGACACAAGGTTTACAACAACGGGGCAAACAGGCAAACTAACTGCCAGGATATGGCAGTAAATTTGGTTGAGGGTTGGTATTTTGATACATACAGTCAATAATGTTTGTTAAAAAACTGTAATTGACATGTTCGCATACAATCTGCAGTTGATTCAATATTTCAACGTTTGTTCTCAGCATCACGCTTTCCGCGATTGATGTTGATGACGGAGATACATGTTGATGAAACATTATTTTATCGGGGATATTCTAATAGATTATGTGGTATGAAGTTAATTTGCTAGAGACTCAATGATAACCATTGTGGCTGTGTTGTTATAGACCTGGTTCTCATTAATTTTGAACGTGGCATTATTTCACCAATAATCAGAAGACGCTCACCCTCCCGGAACGCTTTCTTGTTTTCTTTGTATTTTGTCGAAGGTCTCCACATATCTCATATTTTTCATACTTAGCACTGGTTTCAATGATTTCTATTTTTTTTAAATTAATGTTTCGATATGTCATTATTTTCGTTTTTTAACGCGATCTTGACGAGAATTAATTGATTCCATGTTACAAGATCGATAACTGTGTCGACATATTGTGCTATATATGCCATAACTAGGTTTGCAACAAATCTTAAAGCGATTTATCATGAATTCTTTTTTTCTTTATCACATGTCGTAATAACAAGTTCTCCGATGGCGCCGCGGAATTAAATTTATGTGGATAGATTCATCATATTGGGATAATAATATATTACCTAAACTTGTAAACAATATGGCTTATTAAAATGACTTTGTGTAATTCTTCCTTTATAATCAAAATTATCAATTATCACAATAACAATAAATAAAAAGATAGAGAGAAAATATAGTCTATTGCAGGTTAAGCATTAATTATATGTAGGTACCTGTTTTCAAGAGACGTTATTATTGTTTGACTCTACTGCACCTAATTCTTGTAAAGGTGCGTGTCGATTGTACAGTCCTGTAAATGACCCGTGTGATTGACACTAACGTTAAGACACTACACACGTTATCTTTAACCCGATGTATTCGTTTTGATAAGAGTATTTGATCGTCGTCAACTTCGATAGCGTTAGAGCCTCTTTATATCTCGTTCGTATCACAACTTCAACATTTTTCACAATGAAAACTTTCGGTGTAGTGTTGGTGTGTATGTTAGGGTGTTATGTTGCTGCTGAGAACAGTAACACAGATCTAGCTGATAGATTGAAGGCCCTTGAAGACGAACGTGCCAAACTTGAGGCAGAGATCAATATTTACAGAAAAAAGGCCAAACATCTACTTGAGATCTTCCGGGACGTTCTACACGAAGATGAGGATAATTCTTCGGATCAGTCAATGAGAAAGAGACAATTGGGTAATGCCATAAATATCGGTGTTTAAATTTCTGTAATATTGATACATTCGAATCCTACAATTATTATGTCTAAGATTAGGATAAATGTAACATGTAACCATCATAATGTTATAGCTACAATATTATATCGTATATACCTCAACGTCTTTAGTATCCCAAAGGTTTGTTCAACCAAATGTACGATACTTCTCATTGTAAGGGTCCCTATTTTATGGCTAGTCAGTGATGCTGTGAGTTCGAATGTGAAATTCGAGAAGGCAAGTTCGGAAAATTAAAACTGATCGAAATAGATGAGAAAATATGGGAGAATGCGCTTTAAATCTATAAAATTCTCGGTATTGAATGATTTAAAAAGAGTCAACTACACCGAGCCACTACTTGAAGGTGTCATGAGCATGTTAAAATTGTACAAAAGACACACCAGTCAAACGTACTTCTTCATACAAATTTAGGGTAATATACAGTAGAGCCAAACAACGAATGAAACTGCATCATACAGTTATTTCGTCCGTCTAGGACTCATCAGTGATGATAAGGGCCTAAAATTTGGAGCCTAGGAGGTGACAAAGGAAAATAAGATCCGATAGAAAGAAATTTAAAAATCAAGATGGGAAAGATCACTAGCCCCATAATGGAATTTCGCAATTTTCATATATCTGATAATATCATAACATCGCAATCAAACACTACAGGTCATGATTCTTAGGATGATTCAATATTAACGCGAGTTTATGGGAGATATCGAGGCACCAACAACAGCGTTTCGCTATTGTCACTATTGTAAGGTAGAAAGTGGAAGCAAGTTAGCCCCAGTGTAATTAAAGAAACTATTCATTATTAACGTTGTAAAAATATTTACTGTTTTATATTATTTTCCAAAATCATTCACTCATAATCATATTTCTATAAAACACAGCTTGTGATACAGCAGCTGCCCAGATCGCCTTCCACGCAAGGATGCAAAATCAGAGGGAATTTAGCTCGGTTGACGAAGTCATTACCTTTGACGTGGTACACACTAATATAGGGAACGGTTACAACAGTTCTACCGGAATATTCACCGCTCCTCGTCAGGGAAACTATCAACTTATGGCTACCGTGATGGCGACCGACGGAAACTCCACGGACGTAGAAATGGTCCGATCCTCCCACTACCCCTATACAATCTGTAATTCTCGCGCGGGCACATCTCATTCGTCCATGGGACTTTGTGTTGCGTTTGTTACTTTAGAAGAAAACGAATCCGTTCGGGTCAGACATAACCGTCGTACCCACCAGGTACTGGCTGGTGGAAAATATTCATCTTTTTCTGGACACCTCATAAATAATTAATGAAAAAATAAAATATAGGAATTCATATGTATTATTACAGTCGAATAAAGAGCGAACCTGATTGTTTTTTTTGTTTCCCTTCTGTGTGTTGATGACCTCCAGTTACATGGTAGGGAAAAACAACCCCCATATACGATAGTCTTAAACATTGTTCCAATTCTCCCATATTCAGACTATATTATGAGAGATATTTTTATGGGAATAAAAAAATCTTAAGTGCATCACTATTTCATCGTGTATAATGACTTATCAAAGGAATGAAAAATGAGCTGATTATTTTTGTCATTATTTTGTACAAAAGAAAAAAATCTATGTGTAAGCAAAAATCCAGACTCCAAATCAAGTAAACAAGGACGACTTATGGATAGGAGGATGAATATGAAATATAGATATAAGAGTAATTCAAAGCCAGGCAATCATATGAAATGTTATGTTTTCGAAATAAGAAGCGAGGCACAATGTAGTAACAACAAATCCATAGATATAGTGAAAAGTAATAATATCTCGCACAAAGCTCCACACTGGTACATAAACCGTGATATAACTGATATATTTGTTGTGGTCGAAATAATATCACAACGTTTCTTTACAAAAGATGGAACTGAAGGACTTAGAAAAGTCTTTATTCTTTGTTTACTACTTTTAATATCAAATTCTTGATTAAAGCAAAAGAAGACGAGCGGAAATATGTCCTCTTTTCCGCTAACCACAGTCATTCATGACTGGTGCCACTGATAATGCCTCCTGGAACACATATGTTTGTTCTGTGTTTGCGAGAAATATCCTTGTAAAATTTTTCTTTTTTGATTTTAATCATGGAACCAACGATGGTTTTAGCTTGTTCAACTATACATTCTGCAAAATAAAGTTTAGGAATCGGCACCATAGAGCTGTTTCGTCCTTCTAGGTCATAATCGGTGATGCTTAAGGCCTAACTTGTTAATGTCTAGGAGACAAAGAGGAACCAAGTTGATCAAAATGAATGTCCAAAACCAGAGGAGATATACTAACAGCCGAAATTCAATCAACATAATAATTTTCAATAAAATTTCAGAAGAATGTCAAGTGCACGTATATATTCTGAACCGTGCCACTTTTAAAATGAATAAATGATAAAAAAAACCCACTTGGAAATTGAATAAAAAAATTAATAAATAAAAACAGACTTGAAGGATGGTGCAAAAGACAAGAAAATACACGCACTTTTCATTTTCGGTTTTTAACACTAGTCAGTGTTGCTTGGGACTTAATATGAAAATATAGTCATGGAATAAAGCACTGTGGATGCGTTAGAGTTCAAAATTATTTACAATTAATAAAGAAAAGATCTGGTATATTGTTGATAGTAAAGCCAACTAGATAAAACATTTGAAAGAAAGTTTCCACAGGTTACATACGTATTTATAAAATCTAATTCATATCTATTCGGAAAAATTACACAGACGGTGGAACATTTTTGGTACCAAATTTAACACAGGTAGGTATAGTATGACAGACATGCCGTAGGCAGGTTTCTATAAGTGTCGGTGTTGGAATTTTCAGTCAAGTCATCCACATATAGACTCTAGATTATCACTGTTGAAAGCCATGACTCTAAGGTAGATGTTCTAGAAATCCAAAATCCCAAAATGTGCTGAATTCTATCATACATAAATTCTTGAAGGAGACGATGTCTGTAGAGCAAAAGCAACACTTTCGTGTGAGATAATACAAAATGTCACCTACATTCATCAATTTCAATGTCGACCTGAATGGTCTTATGGTTGAATTTTATCACGATCGATCACTCTAGATCTAAAATGCTATGAAAACTGAATCACGTAAGCTTCGTTGTCAATATTAATATTAAAAGAAAAAGAGCCTGCATCTGAAAATCCGTTTATGATTTGAAGTGTACACGTTTCATTCGCCATATATTGCAGTTGTTATGTTGATACCTTTTCCCACATGGTTTGTGAATGTAAGTGTAGAGTGACGTATCTAAATACCTAGTCACGCTGTGATACTGAGACTGTCTGAATTCCATAATCTAGAGCAGAGCATACAGCGTTCATAAAGAGTACAATTAGTAAGTTAACACAGCTAACCCATTAGAAATTAACCAAACTGTTTTCTAACTAGTTGTTTTGTATACGGAATGCTATTCACTCTGTTCTAGACAATGGAATTAGCCAGAATATGGCGTTTCTGTATCAACATTAAATTATGTCGATTTGGCCATACCTTCAATCATCAGCACATATCTTCGTTTGTGATGAAGATGAAATGTAATGTCGTAGTCATCGAAACAACATACATTATGTATACAATATATATTTTCTTGCCACTTCAAAGGAATACCAGAAATATTCAGAGTCTGATGTTTGAAAGACACTCAAGTCAGCATGATGCCAAACATTGAAAAGAAAATTAAAAAGACAATGACATCACTATGCTTTTAGCTGTTAATTCATTTATTGTTTTGCGAAATACAATTAATCTTTCACTATTAAATGCCCAGAAAATGAAGGGTATCTGTACCCTCCGTAGATATACGTTCCTCTTCCGTTGTAATGACGTACAAATACGTCATCTCCGGTATTGAGATGAACCATGGAAACACACATGCCGATATCCATGTTGGGAGCTCCGGCATGCGCACGGCATAACATCCGGTTGTTGAGAACCATTTCAACGTCGACATAATAATTAGTGTAAGCAGAAATGGTTGCTATGAACTCATAGAGTCCAGAAAAGGGCGCCTTAAACACACCAAAGTTAGAATCATACGCATTACCGACGTTGGTGATGACAGTGTTGTACACGATGGTCTGTTTAGGGCTCATGATGCTGTATGAGTTAGTTAGGGTTGCATGGAACACCAATGGGGTGGATGGATGGGACAACGGGGAGGCGGTGGTCAGTATCTCTATATAAGATAATGAAAAAGCGTGTAGGTAAAAATATATCCACTCGCTCAATGCTGTAAAAAATATTGTTTAAGGTATGAAACGCAAAATATACAGCAAAGTTGATATTATAACTGAGTGCATTGCTTAGATACATGGGTTGTCAACTAGAGGAAAACCAACAGAAAACAATAGGGTATGTAGTTTCTGACTTGATTATAAAGTCTCTTGACATTGAGGCCATTATTATCGAAAAGTTGCATATTTTTGTATACATGTATCTGTTCAAAATATGTATTTCTACTAAAGGCCCTAATAACCATTCTCATTTTATCTGACTATGTCAGAAAGTTTAGTTTGAACTTAAAAACACAATATCTGTCAATGTCTGATATCATATAAGTAAAAGAATCGCTGTTTAACGGTTCACGAGAAAATTATTACGTGGACCGATCAGTTACTAGATTCATTTTCACTTTTTTCTCTCTTTTACTTAAAGTCGTTTAAGACAACAAAACTGTAACTCAAATATAAGAGAAAAAAATAAATAAGAAATAAAAATAAAAATAAAAAAAATGAATTAATTGATCTCACGTCTTTTGTTGACATTGTTTGCCGGCTGCACGTCAGTGTTGACTTCCTGTTCATCCTGGTTTTCATCTTCAGTTTTCATTGGCTGCGCTTTCGCCCTTGCTTTTTCGAGCAGTCCTTGTAGCTCATTACTGTTCTTACTAATCAGATTCTCATATCTTTCATACAGAGCCTCGAGTTTATCTAACCTCTCCGCTAATTCACTGTTTAAAAAGGAACAGTTACATGCACTTAGCATATACAGAGTGATTACCAACAAAACTTTTACGACCACCATTTTGAAATCATAAAGCAGAATTGAAATTGTAAGGCTAAATGTTCATGTAAGGAATCTTTGTGACCTCGTCGGTGTCACTATCTTTCAGAGATAAGACCACAGCAAGTGCCGGCAAGTGCTAAACTTTCCCTTCTAACATAATTATGGCGAGTCGATAACAAATGTTTCCATTCTATGTCACTTACATCATGTGATAGATCACCGTCATTCATCGTTGTGACTAAACAAACCTGTAGATTAAAAATATGCTTTTTCAAATTCATTACGTTTTCAGTGACGAAACTGGTACGTTTTTTCTAAACAGAATAAATTCCTTATGGCAAGAAGATTAATTTTGAAGCAATATAGCTATGAAGTCATCATGTAATCATGATATGTGATATTTGATTATATGATGACTGTGCCGATAGACGATATGACACGAATTCAGAGTATAATAATTGAACACAAGTTTGATGAGTGAATAAAATATTTTATTGGATATTAGTTGATAACATCTGCACTGATCAAATGTCCTGAAAAGGGCGAATAGCCATTCTGTCCAGTCAAATGTGACCCTTTCCCATTGAAGTGACGAACAAATATATCATCATCTTTTGTAGCATGCACAATTGCCACACAAATGCCAATACCCTGATCAGATAATGCTGCATGAGCCTTACAAAGGATGGCAGCATTCTGCACCAACATCACATCTACAAAGTGGTTTTTAGCTGCAGCCACAGTCACTATGAATTCGTATACACCATTGTACGGTACCTTGAACAGTCCAAAATTACTGTCGTATGCGTGACCGACATTGGTGATCACCCGGTCGAACACTATAACCTGTTTGGAACTCATTATAGGATATACATTTGTAAGCGACGCTTGGAACACAACCGGTGGGATGATGCGTTCAGTGGTAGTGGGTAATGTGGTAGTAGTTGGTGTTGTAGTTGTTGTTGGTGTTGTTGTTGTAGTCGGTGTTGTTGTGGTAGTTGGTGTTGTTGTTGTTGGTGTTGTTGTTGTAGTTGGGGTTGTTGAGGTAGTTGGTGTTGTTGTAGGTGGTGTTGTAGTTGTAGTTGGTGTTGTTGTTGTAGTTGGTGTTGTAGTTGTTTTTGTTGAAGTTGTTGTAGTTGGTGTTGTTGTAGTTGGTGTTGTTGTTGTAGTTGTTGTTGTAGTTGGTGTTGTTGTAGTTGGCGTTGTAGTTTGTGTTGTTGTAGTTGTTGTTGTACTTGGTGTTGTTGTTGTAGTTGGTGTTGTAGTTGTAGTTGGTGTTGTTGTATCTGTAATTGGTCTTGTTGTAGATGTAGTCGGTGTTGTTGCAGTTGATAGTATTGTAGTTGTCGTTGTTGGTGTTGTAGTTATTGTTGTCTTTGTATTTGTTATTTGTGTAGTTGTCGGTGTTGATGATATCGTTGTCAGAGGATTGGTCGGTGTTGCTGTAGTTGTCGGGGTTCGCATTGTTGGAGAAAACAATATTGAAACGTTGACATTGGCGGGCACACGTCCATTACGCTCTTTTGTTTGTGAATAGTCTTCATTCGTTAGAATTTTGTTTCTTTTATCTGTAAATCAATGGATATTTATTTATTGTAAAACACAAAACAACGAGTTTGTAGAAATCTCTAAAATAAATAAAAGCACGATGACTTTATAGGTTATTAATAATAATATGTATTTTTCGATAATGTCAAACTCAATTATGTCTTCGTAAAGACATTTTCGTTGTATAAGCTAACTGATGAACAACATTAATTTGTTTTGAAACCTATAAGTACATATAGCAATAAAATTACAAAAGATTTGACACATTTTGCAAAAGTGCTAGAATATTATCTACCTTCACGTTGACCTTTCATTTTACTGTGAAATACTTCCGTGTATGCATGGGAAATGACCTCTATGTACTCCCCAATCTCCAGAAGGTCCCTCTCCATAGAATCAAAACAGTATTCCAGATATTCTAAAGTAGCTATAGGATCATTGTGATTTGCGAACACATTATGACCACAAAATGATATTACTACAAAGCACCATGCTGTTATTTTAAACGGTTCCATACTTTAAGTTGTCAATATCATAATATGTGTCCAAGCAGGTGACAAATGTCACGTCAAGAGCGACCTTATCAGCCAAAATTGTGTACACGTCACATACATACTCATTTGACGATTTTCTTGACATTTAATAATTTCCAATAACAAAAACAATACAAGGGGTATAAATGGATTTATATATGGTTACACCACAGGAAGTAAACATATTAATAGAAATACAGAACTCAAGTAATGACACTGGCTTATGGTATGTCGCCGATGTTTATATAAATCAATCCAAATAATCGGGTAACTCAAAGTAGTCTTTTATGCATATAAGTTGTAAATCAAGCATTGTGTTTAAGATTTGTACAAGAGACACAAAAGTAAATAGTAACTATCATCAAAACAATACAAATTTAGAATTCAAAACACCATGTGGCCAAAGCGACTTATAAAATCATCAAAATTGGTTGAAAAATACGATTACATATTGATAGGGAGGTGTATGATTTCCCTGATTAAAATAAGAATAGCTGAATTTGTAATTGTATCAGGAAAAGTGGATGTCTTAATGATCTATAAAGAATATGACATTTCGATGAGTTTTGGTTTTCCTGGATGGCCTCCGTTTGATCTTCAGTAATACTGACAAGTTCTAGAAGGATTGATCAGCGGTATGCTGTAATTTAGTTAATATTGGATCTACTGTATATAATTCTAAATTCGTATTGACAGATGCTTTTCATTGGTGTGTAAAACAAGTTGTTCCAGAAGAGTCAGTGTCCTCTGCTTCATCGAAGACACCCGCCGAGTAACTTAGTCAATCCAAGTAAGTTATGTCATGTTCTCAAAGGATAGAAGGTTACCAACAGGCAAACCAACAGGCTTGAAACACGTCCTACTTCATATCACACAAAGAAATAAAATATTTTATATTGAGATCACTATAACGACCGTTAAACTTCTCAGTAATTTTGATCAACCGACAGTTGATTACTTCTTGCATAAAGATCGTGATAATGGGGACAGGTCGTTGAATATCGGATCAACTGCGATATGTCAACACCAGGTTGGAGATCCAGGGGTGTTGCCATGAAGAAATGTAAAATTCACAATAGGGAAATTTCAATTATCCCGCTTATCACACATCCCAGTGGAAAGCTGCCCATGCTGGTTTGGTTGTGCGAAAAGATCGAGATAAACGACTGATGTTGTGTCTTTGGTTTCCAACCCTGGTGAGTATATACGATCGACATGATCAATAAATTTCTTGTTATATAAAGACAATGCGTCATCAATATATATGAGAGTGAAATTGAAAGACTTTGCAAGGTCATTGTGACTTGTTTTGATGAGCACTGTGATTAGTTCAGCCTTGTATGAAAACAAAAACAAATTAAAGAAATAAATTACTGAATATTGAAATAAATTCATTGAAATATGTTAATACCAACTTTTAAAATCAAATTATGAAATGACCAGAAAATACGTCCATTTATGTAAACGGATCCGAAGCCGCGGTTTTATAACCATACCTGATCTCTTAACAACGTCTTAAGAACACTGACGCCAACCAATATTGTTTTGTTGGGAGTGCCAGCTTTTCATTAGTGTACGTCAGTTATAAAACATCTGGCGGCCCCTATGGGAGTATTCGCGGGTTCACATGGTTGCTATGAATACGTAAATTCCTCTCGTGAGAGCCTAGAATATCACTGCGAACTTGACAAATGCTTTACCCACTTTGGTGATTACGTCATTGTATAATTTGTTTGGATCCTACTGGAAAATATAGATTGAGTCTTGAGAATATGAAATGCTACTCGAGATATTTTTTGTGTTAATCTACATAAAATAAGGATGTTTAATGATTTTTTTTTCTGTGTAAAACAGAAATGGCTTATTTGCGTGACGTCCTATAATTCATTTAGAGGTAAAAAATGGCAAAACGTTAATTAACTGACACGTTGATACGTTACTGTTATTTAAATCCATATAAAAGTCTGTTACTGTTAATACCGCTTTATGTACATTAATGTAAATCCAATACCACTAGAAATACAAATGTTAATCCAGTACCACTAGAAAAACAAACTATTGATCCAGTACCACTAGAAAAACAAACTGTTAATACAGTACCACTAGAAATACAATCTGTTAATCCAGTACCACTAGAAATACAATCTGTTAATCCAGTAACACTAGAAAAACAAACTGTTAATCCAGTACCACTAGAAATACGTCACTGTTAATCCGATACCACTAGAAATACAATCTGTTAATCCTGTACCACTAAAAATACAATCTGTTAATCCAGTAACACTAGAAAAACAAACTGTTAATCCAGTACCACTAGAAATACAATCTGTTAATCCAGTACCACTAGAAATACAATATGTTAATCCAGTACCACTAGAAATACAATCTGTTAATCCAGTACCACTAAAAATACAATCTGTTAATCCAGTACCACTAGAAATACAATCTGTTAATCCAGTACCACTAGAAATACAATCTGTTAATCCAGTACCACTAGAAATACGACACTGTTAATCCAGTACCACTAGAAATACAATCTGTTAATCCTGTACCACTAAAAATACAATCTGTTAATCCTGTACCACTAAAAATACAATCTGTTAATCCTGTACCACTAGAAATACAATCTGTTAATCCAGTACCACTAGAAATACAATCTGTTAATCCTGTACCACTAGAAATACAATCTGTTAATCCAGTACCACTAGAAATACAATCTGTTAATCCTGTACCACTAAAAATACAAGCTGTTAATCCAGTACCACTAGAAAAACAAACTGTTAATCCAGTACCACTAGAAATACAAACTGTTAATCCAGTACCACTAGAAATACGACACTGTTAATCCGATACCACTAGAAATACAATCTGTTAATCCTGTACCACTAAAAATACAATCTGTTAATCCAGTACCACTAGAAAAACAAACTGTTAATCCTGTACCACTAAAAATACAAACTGTTAATCCAGTACCACTAGAAATACAATATGTTAATCCAGTACCACTAGAAATACAAACTGTTAATCCAGTACCACTAGAAAAACAAACTGTTAATCCAGTACCACTAGAAATACAATCTGTTAATCCAGTAACACTAGAAAAACAAACTGTTAATCCAGTACCACTAGAAATACAATCTGTTAATCCAGTACCACTAGAAAAACAAACTGTTAATCCAGTACCACTAGAAATACAATATGTTAATCCAGTAACACTAGAAAAACAAACTGTTAATCCAGTACCACTAGAAATACAATATGTTAATCCAGTACCACTAGAAATACAATCTGTTAATCCAGTACCACTAGAAAAACAAACTGTTAATCCAGTACCACTAGAAATACAATCTGTTAATCCAGTACCACTAGAAATACAATCTGTTAATCCAGTACCACTAGAAATACAATCTGTTAGTCCAGTAACACTAGAAAAACAAACTGTTAATCCAGTACCACTAGAAATACAAACTGTTAATCCAGTACCACTAGAAATACAATCTGTTAATCCAGTAACACTAGAAAAACAAACTGTTAATCCAGTACCACTAGAAATACAATCTGTTAATCCAGTACCACTAGAAAAACAATCTGTTAATCCAGTACCACTAGAAATACAATCTGTTAATTCAATACCACTAGAAATACAATCTGTTAATCCGATACCACTAGAAATACAAACTGTTAATTCAATACCACTAGAAAAACAAACTGTTAATTCAGTACCACTAGAAATACAATCTGTTAATCCAGTAACACTAGAAATACAATCTGTTAATCCAGTAACACTAGAAAAACAAACTGTTAATCCAGTACCACTAGAAAAAACAAACTTTTAATCCAATGTCACTAGAAATACGTTGCTATTAATCAAGTACATGATGTGGGGCATCAGATACCATATTTTATATGAGTGAATTATATTTTTGACAGAATATGATCAAACGCATTATTTCATTTCAGAATAGATTTATGTCAATATACATTGCAAGTTAAACATGGGAAACTGGTTGAATTACAACATATACTGATTTCTTAGCATTGTATTAAAACTGTTTATTCACTGAATACCTTCACATTTCGAATCATATGCATTGACTCTTTAAAATAATAGAAATACATCTTAAATTTTATTTAGTTTCATCAAACTATTTTACAGAGGATACCAATTTGATCAATGTAGTAATGTTCTGAAATGCCATCCAAATAAGTCTCACACCACAATATAATTGCAGGCAATTTAAAGCAATATTCCTTCAGAACATGATAAGAATTGACACCCCTTAATATATGTGATCAAGAGCATGGAAAAACTAAACATTTCTAAAATGCAGTTAAATTTACCAATTTTCTATTGAAAAGTGTTATTCACATGTGGTGTGTCTGGTAAAATTCTTGGGAGAGCCACAAATAATGATAAGGCCTTATCTCTTACAAAGAAGGCTTGTTACAGTTTCATTATTTCACCACGTAGAAATAATCTGTCATATATTCGTCATGTTGCATAACAAAAATAAAAACCAAACAAACAAAACCCACCTCCAAAAAGCCAAAAAAAAAAAAAAAAAACATAAAAAAAATTGTGTTTTGCTTTGAAAATGATAAGTACGATAATGACTTGAACCTCTACGTTGACGATTGTGTGAGTCAGCGTACTTGGCGTGAGAACTTTGGTCAACGTACATCTGCAAAAGGCCATTGTATGTTTCAACATGTCAGCGCACTTTTTCTTTAAGTCACGTCAATAACGTTTAAAGAGATACTGCTGGTATCAATATATTCCACATATCTATGTTAAATTCTCAGAAAGTTCTAATAGAATTAAGATGGCTGTGTCTGAATCAGGTAGGCGTTATCTACGGAATTTTATTAACAAGACACCATACACCAGATGATAAAAGCTAAAAGTATGTGTACCAGTGTACATATATTACTGCTCAGAATATACATACATTTAAAATCAGTCAATATAAAGAAATATGAAA